GTTTTATTCAATGTAGCTGTGCACATGAATGTTATTCTAGCTCACTGAAGGGCATAATTGGCTTCTCCTGGTCAAAAATCATGGCCTGGTAATTTACACTATCTAGCAATAAGTATTTGAACACTTGTGATATTAAAAGAAAAACAATATTTATTCATATTCAATAGTTGGAAGAGCTTCTAGAAGCAGCAATTAAAGCTTCAATCCACAAGGGCATGCTTTCCACAGGTCCTTGTATGATGGCTGATGAAATTTCTTTTTGCTTGCCTTGGAGATAACATGCCAGTTCCTTCACTGATATTGGATGATTGTTGCACCCCTTCACTCGGTGATCCAACTTTCCTAGAACAGCTGGCAATGTCATCCTGAAAGCAACATAGTTCAACAAATAAAACTGCCACAACATACGAAGCCCATTATCAACTATGATAGTGTATTATGCGTAAGCGTTGCGTTTACTTTTAATTTAGATCAAGGTTCACTCCGTACTACGAGAAACAGCCCCAGATCATAATTGCAACAGTGGCAAACTTTATTGTGGGCACAATGCATTACCGTAGTAGACATATTCCACGCAGATGCCAGACCCAGACCCTACCATTCAAACGACAGATGGTGATCTTAGATTTTACCCTCCAGAGAACACGATACTACTGATCAATAATCCACTTATGGCATGCTTTGCACCACATTGAAAGAGTGGCATGCTTTGCACCACATTGAAAGGACTTTATGATCAAGGTCTTATAGACAGCAGCACAACCATGAAGAAAAAGTAGATGTGATTTTTTACTGATGGTATTCATTGCAGCAACAGTCCCGGTTGCTTGTTGAAACTCCTGGAGTATGTGGGCCACTGGTTGAGTGCGGTTCTTACACATTTCACTGGACAGCAACTGGCCATCCCCATCTCCCAGTTTGGCTGGTCTGCTGACTTGAAGCACATTCTGAAAATCACTCCACACCTTCCATTTCTGAATCACATAGGCTACTGTTGAATTTGGTAATTCATCTCACTATATATGCATCTTAAAGATCGGCCATTTTTCTGATACCTGACGATTACACCTTTCTCGAAAACAAAGAACTCTACACTTCTTAGTGTCTTGCATGCCACTAATGCGAATGCTGTTTCCTACATGATGTTTAATGGAGGCATGACATATATCAGGACCGCAGATATCAGTATTTGCACTGGTGTCAAAATATTTATTGGTAGATAATATATTAGTTTAGAATTTAATATATTTTGCTTTCTTACTGCAAGGCTTCGTTGCAGATCCAAAAACCTGTGCTACAAAAAGGGCTAGGGTTTTGAGACAAGGGGGAGATAATTTCGGAAAAGATTGCACTTCTGACTCAAAAATGAATTCGTGGCATGGAATTTTCTCTTTGTGTAGTCATTGCAAAACATGATTTTGAAGTGAACATCAAAGGCTTAAGTACATTACATTTGCTTAAGTGAAAATACAGATAATAGAGTTGCTTTTAGAAGTAAATATGGTTCCTGATAAACAAAACACACAGAGTGCTGCTTTGAAATGCCAAGTCATGCAGTTTGCAAAAGAAAATGGAAATCGTGCAACGAAAGGTTGGTTGCTTGGTATTGGTGAAAGCTCCATATATGAGCTGAAGAAAAATTAAACCACAATAATTAATATGCCAAAGAATAAGTGTGCACTTTTGTACAAGTGGTAACAAAAACTATCCTAGAAGACAGTGTTGTGAACTGGCTTTAGAATGGTTTACTTATGATTTTTTTGCTCTAAAGTGACCAAAAAAGAATGTAAAATGAAAGTAAAAGCTTAAAAAGCAACTTTGAGTTGACATAGTCAATTTATTACATTGAAAAATTTATTCTATTGGAGAAGACAAAATGTTCAATAACTTCTGAAAGAGTTTGACAACAGACTGATAATCTTCGAGAACAATGTTGTTGACCTATGAAGGCAAAATTATTATTTACTGTCACATATTGGAATTATGGATGAAACTACAGTTATGTGTCATGTGATAGGAAATACAACAAATGATGTGAAAGGAACAAAAATGGTTCACATAAAAACAACACAAAAAATCTCACCTCGCTCTAGAGCTTTCCTGCTGAATGGATTGTATAAAATTAAAACCCACAGTTATTCTTAAAGAGAAAGGCATTGCCAAAATATTATGTCCCAGTTGCTATTTTCATTCATGTTCACAAAAAAAGAATGGATAAATGGAAATGGTGTGAAACTGTGGATAAGAAATGTTTTACAAAAGCATCCTGTTTCCTAAAAGAATTTAGAAAGTCTTTTCATTTGGGACATGTTCGGGTTCCAACTAACAGAAAACAAGAGGATATTGTTGAAAGAATAATACAGATACACGTATTCCAGGGAGATAGATACATATTATTAGTTCAGCTTTTAGATGTGATCATCAATAAACTATTCAAATAAAATTTAAAATTACAGTAGGATGCTAGAAGATCAAACAACTAAAACTTCCTTTATATCAAGGAAGTCAAATGTGTCATGTTAGTCTAGCTGACTATTGACAGCTGAATAGCAAAAGCTTGGAATGAAATTAAGCCAGATATAGATATAATTTAAAAGTCATTAAAAAAGTGTAGTGAAAAAACAAAAAAAAAAAAAAAAAAAAAAAAAAAAAAAAAAAAAAAAAAAAAAAAAAGAAAAAAAAAAACTCTAACAATCTACATGAAAAGAGGATGATTATTTATTTAAGGAACAGAGAAACCATGATGGTGAAGAAGAAACAAAATTCCATGATGTGGCTGAAGACATATTGGAACACAAATATCACAAAATGTTCATGCTATCAGATAATGGAAATTTTTAACTTCATAAGATATGTCACTTCCATTAAACAAACAGCATTCAGGTGGAATGAAGAAATTTAATTTTTATATGTTACTTTTTTTTTTATCTTTGAATCTAATACTTTTATATCCAGCACATAACACACATTCATAAATTTTGACCCCACTTTTAGTATTAATAGTGTGCCTTATACACCAGAATATATGGTACATCCATACATACATGCATACAGAAGAGAACCGAAATAACACGCTATAGCACTTAAAGATACCACAAAACATATCTCACACACTGGTATCTTTTACAAAAGTCTTGTGAAAATTTTGTTACAGTGTGACTGAAATTTTCATTTAGTGAATATGCTTAATCATTCAAACAAATAAAATGAAATTTTTCAAATGAGAGGAATGCAATATCAATAATTGTTATTCGATTCTGATTAAATAATCTGAATGGAAGGTTTAAAGCAGCATATTCCCACTCTAGTTTTAAACCTTTCATTACTGCTTACATACTAAAGATATGCAAATACAGTCAAAAGTCGTTAATCCGGACTCGTCGGGACTTCGGCGATTCCGGATTATCGATTTTTGGATTATAGATCATCAGTTTAAATCGCGTAAGATGGCATGCAGAAATTCTAAAATTAAAAATATGAAACCGTAATTTATGAAATAAAGAACAATTATGATCTAAAGGGTATCAAAATTTACAAAAAAAAAGCTCAATATTTATTTGTTTACTTTATTAAACATTTCTTTCAATGTAAGTTGTTTAAGTTGCTTCGGTTTATGTGATAATACTTTCTCTTTAATTCTATAAACAGACATAATTTTTTGTTCAGTTACAAAGTTCCGCTGTTCAAGTCCCGTTAATTGCTGTGACGAGAATACCGACTAACTTGTCAATCGAAATTTTTTCGTTTTCACTAACCTCTCTGTCCATAACATTCTTCATGTCCTTATCCATTTTTTGCAGCAATTCCACTTTTTGTTTGTGGGCATCGAAACATACTTTCGTTTTGTACGATCCTTTGGGAGCTCCAGAATCGGAAATTCTATTTGACATAATCGAAAGTTCAAGTTTACTTTTATAGCATTGCTCTTACAATCTGCAAAAAATAATAAGCCGGATCCAATTCGAAAATTAAGGAACAACGCAATCATCAACATTAACTGAAATAGAAAATTAGATAATTTTAGCTTATACCGTCCGTTATACATAACGAAAACGTATTCTGTGCTTGCGCACACGCAAATGCGCAGTCGTAAGAGATCTTGCGCGCACGCGTAAACGCCTATGCGCATGTGTCAACGCGGTGCATGCACAGAAAGTTTTTATCTTTGAGGTCCGGAATATTAGATCATTCCGAATTATGGGTGTCCGAATTAACGACTTTTGACTGTATTGTTTTTCATTACTGCTTACATACTAAAGATATGCAAATATTGTTTTAAGTCAGCAGTACTTCAGAAAGACTTATCTTGCAAACATAAAGCTTTTCTCTTATTTAACAAAAAATGATTTACTAAGAATTTAGAAGAAATGACACACCACTTATACAGTACAAAGTCTGTAATTCGGACGTCCTTTATCCGGAATGATCTATAATCCGAACCTCAAAGCCACAAACTTACGCATGTGCATAATGCGTTTACGCATGCGCATAAAGGGTTTACTCATGTGCGATTTTGATAATGATAGAAACGAGAACGAAAAAATTTCGATTGAAAAGTTAGTCGGTATTCTCGACATAACAATTACAGGACTTGAACAGTGGAACTTTGTAACTGAACAAGAAATTATGTCTGTTTTATAGAATTAAAGAGAAAGTATTAGCACAAAAAACGAGGCAACTTAAACAACTTACATTGAAAGAACTGTTTAAAAAAGTAAACATATAAATATTAAGCTTTTTTTTAAAAAAAATTTGATACCCTTTAGATCATAATTGTTCTTTATTTCTAAATTATGGTTTCATATTTTTAATTGTATAATTTTTGCATGCCATCTTACCAGATTTAAATTGATGATCTATAATTCGGAAAAACCCCTAATACGGAATCGCTGAGGTCCCGACGAGTCCGGATCACAGACTTTGTACTGTGTAATGAAATTTCTTTTCTGCATGAACAAAACTTTACTATACAGATAACAAAAGTTCTTATTAATCTAATATTTCCACAAAAGAAAATAAGCTTTTATTTTCATAGATATATGCCTTTCCATTCTTCAACATTAAGTTATTTGTTACATGTGTGACTCGTGAAGTTTCCCTCCTGTTTGCATAAGCATTTGCTTCTTTAAATAACTCTTCTCTCTAAATGATGTCTCTTGTGTGAATATGCATATGCTTGTTTAAAGCACTATTTTTTCTAAATGACTTATTACATACATCACACATATGAGTGTTCTTTCGTGCATGAATACGCATATGATTATTTAACCCACCCTTTTGAACAAATGAACTATTACATACATCGCACACATAAGGTTTCTCTCCTGTGTGAATACGCAGATGGGTTTTTAACTGACTTTTTTCTGTAAACGACTTACTACATATCTCACATACATGGAGTTTCTCTCCTGTATGAATGAGAATATGCTTCTTTAAAGCAGACTTTTTTCTAAATGACTTATTACATACATCACAAACATGTGGTTTCTCTCCTGTGTGAATAAGAAGATGTCTGTTTAAATCACCCTTTTGTCTGAATGACTTATTACATACCTCACACACATAAGGTTTCTCTCCTGTGTGAATAAGCATATGGTTTTTTAAACTTAATTTACGTTTAAATGATTTGTTACATATTTCACATATATGAGGTCTCTGTCCTGTGTGGACAAGTTGATGCCTTTTTAAAATAGACTTTTCTCTAAATGTCTTATTACATAGCTCACATGCATAAGGTTTCTCTCCTGTGTGACTAAGCATATGTCTTTTTAAATCAGACTTTTCTCTTAATGTCTTATTACATAGCTCACATGCATAAGGTTTCTCTCCTGTGTGAATAAGCATATGCCTTTTTAATTCAGACTTTTTTCTACATGATCTGTTACATACCTCACACACATGAAGTTTCTCTGGGGTATGAATAAGCATATCATGATTTAAAATACTCTTTTGAGAAAATGGCATATTACATACCTCACACATGAGGTTTTCTCTTCTGTGTGAATAACCATATTCTGGTTTAACTTAGTCTTTAATGTAAACATCTTCTTACATATCTCACATACACGAGGTTTCTGCTGTATGTGAATAAGCATACACTCATTTGATTCAGTTTTTTTGTCGATCTGAACTTTAACCTACCTCTAGCAGGTGAGAATTTTCTGTTAGGTCGGTAGGGAGAAAAAAATTATTTCTCTACATGGCATTTAACATATATCCAAGAAATGAATTTTCTTTCTTATACAGAGAAGTATGAGCTGACGACTTTGCTATCAAACAAGTAGCTACACACCTTACAATGTTCCTTTATGTTTTGCACACATTTGTTTTAAGCAAAGCAGTTATTGGGTGCTACAAAATAACTTTAGTAATCTTGCCTAATTACACAGAATTAAGAAAAAGCGAAACATATTGTAAAAGACACATACTTGGTGTGCGACATACGCATAACAAGATTTTCCGGAATACATTATGAGAAATAAATATAATATTTTGCATAAATATTATTTCTCACCTTAAGACTGATAAAACGTTAATTATTATTTCATGCAATCATGTTATATATGCTACTTTTACCGACTGTGTTAAGTTTTAATTTTCTATATTTGTTAGTTACTGCTAACTCTACATTTCGCTGTACAGAATGTGCAACATATTTTGCTGTAGAGGAAAGAAAAACTTTACATTAGTTTGTACAAAAATTTGTTCATTCACTGCTTCAAAACACAAAGAGATTAAAACTAGCCACGAAATCTTTACGGATGCCAACTGGCGTGATGCACGAGGTATTAGGGTACTTTCTATGTTGTAGTAATTCACAGGCGTCTCAAGAGCAGAAGAGGAAAATGCTCATCTTCACTATCATTGGCTGTATACCACGTGACACTCCCGAAACGTTTTAGGCGCTATTTCTGGTTTTTCGCCAACTGCAATTGTGTTTCTCGCCAATTGTTAGCGGTTTCTTTAAATCAAGGATATTGCTTTTTTTTTATAAAATGGATATGTTTAAATGTAAATCTTGCAGTTCATCTTTTTATGCGAAAAGATATTTGAAAGCGCATGCACAAAGAATACGCGAATTTAAACAATAAAGTTTCACCATTTTCGTGTATCATCCTTGAACCGGCAGGTTCCTTTCAACGGGCGCCTGGACGGAAGAGTCCTATCCCGATCGAAGTTGCGTCACTTTTCGAACGTTGTGGGCATAAGTGTTGTTCGGCAGAGTGATGATGGCATGTCCATAAGCAATGTGGATGACATAAAGTCCAGTTGAAAGATGATTTGATGATACCTGCACTTGGGGAGAAGTATTCGGAGGCTAACTCCTAGGTTGAAAGTCGCTGCGCTGAGGTATAGAAGGCGGCGTCGATGGGCGGAGAGAAGTCTTGAAAATCTTCAGGTCATGTGGGTGAAATGTCCAATGGGAGAAAAAGTTGGAATTTGGAAATAGAGCTGAGGGGTCTCATGCAAGCAAGTGTATTATGTTCACAGATCAAAGATAATTTAAGAGTTTTTTTTTTTTTTTTTATTATTTAGTTAAAGATGTTAGCTTCCTCACATATGGTAAATAGAATTAATAGTTTCTCCATGGGTGTATCTGCTGCTTTTAATTGGTGTAAGTTATTTTTGAGAGTAGAAAAGAATTTAAATATGTTATTGTGGCCGAAAATATTATTGAGTTCTTTTAGTGTAGAGAAAATGTCGGTGAAAATGTTCGCGTTAGATGTAGTGTTGGTAATCTGATTTCTAGTGTCTTGTGTGTTGTTGGAAGTAACCTGTGCGTATGTTCTGCCTTGTGTGGATGTTGGTATATTTGGGGTGCTATTGCTTGGAGTAAAAGTGTGATTTGGTGAATTATTGGTGTGTCTGTTTTTGGGGAATTTCTCGCAACCGCGGTATGAAGCTGGATGATTTTTTTGGCAATTTGCGCATGTGGGGTTATCTAATTTACCTTGTGTGGGGCAGTCTGTTGTTTTATGTTGTTGTGCGCATTTAACACACCTAGGTAAGAAGAAACAATTGTCTGATGAGTGATTAAAACGTTGGCAGTTGTGGCATTGTGGTGTAATGTTTTTGTTGATGTATTTTTCGATTGTGATGAATGAACATACCTAGGTGTGTTTCACTGTAGATTTTGTCGATGTTTGGTGTTGGCATGAGTTGTATCTGAAATAGTGGCATGGGTTGTTTGGTTTTGAATCTTGTGAGTTGAACTACTTTGTGTACATGTGTATCCGAGGTGTGTGAGTTCCGTGGAAATTTCATGTGTGTCAGTGGTAATGGGTAAGCCTCGGATAACTACTTTGATTGGGCGTTTGTGCTTGGGTGTAATGATATAGTGTTCGATGTTATGTTTTTGTAAGTCTGTGGTGAGTTGTCTGTGATCATCTGTTGTTGAAGGTAATAATTTGAGGTATTCTCCACTAATTTTGGCGTAAAATGTAGCATTAGTCAGTGTAGTAAGTTTCTTGATGTACTGGTTGTGTGTGGCGCCATCTTTCGGCTTAACCATAATTGGTGTAGGTGTGCTATATTGGGGAAGTCTTGTATCTGGTGATTTGCGAGCTGTTAATTTGTGTGTGGGTTGAGTGGAATGAGTGTCAGGTTGCGAGAGTGCTGTGTAGCTGTTTTGGGTGGGTATACTGTTGGGTGCAACATTTACGGGTACCTTAGCAGTTTTGTGTGGTTTTTTGAATCCTTCCGTGTCGTCGTCACTGTCTGAATTATCACGTGGTTTGCGTTTCTGTTGTGTGATTGGCTGTGTAATGCTTGCATGGGAAAGAGCAATATTCAACTTACCCCTCAGCTGATCCAGCAGAGTCTTCTTCTTTTCTATCTCCTTTTTCAGAATGTCCGAATGATAGTCCGTGTCCGTGACTGGTCTGTTGGCCGATAAGTACCGGATGGTTCCGTATGAGGGTTGAAATAATAGTAACTTCCTTCAACGATTTCTTGTCGGAGTGTAGCAATTTCCAGCTCCGTAAGAACTTTATCGGTATTGTCCTGGTCCATATCATTGGCCGTCGTATTCGAGCTGTCCGAAACAGGATCCATAGCTTTATCGGGTGGAACCGCTTCACTACGGGGCCACATGCCAACGCTATGGACACACACGGGATCTGTGTCATTACACACCAAGATGCCTTAAATGCGCACAATTACATGAAACATATTTATGTAAACAAAATAAAGAAACAGAAAAACCGACTTGCGTCCTCTGCGGACAAGAACACGTCTCTTCATACCGTGGGTGTGTAAAAAACCCAGATAACATAAAGAAAAAATTAGCCGCCGAAAAGGCCGAAAAAGAAAAAAGAAAAAATCTGCATTCATTCCAACTAAACGAGAACGAATTTCCTAAATTGCCAGAAAAACCACAAGTTTCTCCCTTACCAAATAGCAATAATAATAGCTCAAGCAGTAGTAACAGTAATAACTCCAATAACGAAAGTCAAGAAGCATCAAGTTTCTTTACTTGGATTAAAACCCAAATGCAACAAGCTAAACTTATTTCAAAAAATTCAAAGAAGCAAAATCTCTCATAGAAAAGCTAGAAGTCGGCATGGCCGCAATGGATTATTTCATGAACCTGGATTATGAATTTTAAATCCAATCAATTTAATCCCAACCTTATTTCAACTACCAATAGTTTCCTAAAAGTTGCCTTCTTCAACGCAAACGGTGTGACTAGACAAAAAGATGAACTCGACTCCTACCTGAATCATCATAAAATAGATATCATGCTCATTAATGAAACACATCTTAATAACAAAACCCGCTTCAATTTGGAAAGCTACAAAATCATTAGGACTGATCGCCCCAATAACATCTTAGGGGGCACAGCAATCATCATAAAAAGTCATATAAAATTTACTCCTCTCAACATTAATACCCAAAATATCGAAAACACTGCTGCACTGGTTTACTCAGGCTTCAATGAACCTTACCTTTTCATCTCAGCGTATAACTCACCAAGTAACAACCTCCTCTCTGCAGATCTTGACAGACTGACCGATTATAGGTACCCCACTCTCATCGCGGGGGACCTAAACTCTAAAGATCGAAGCTGGAACTGCAACGTTAACAACCGTAATGGTTCTACGCTCAAAAACTATGCTCTAAACAATGAAATCAGGATTATTGCTCCAGAATTACCCACGAGATATCACTTTGATGGTCGTGCGGATATCCTCGACATCCTCATCCTCAAGAATATCCAATCCACTCCTTATCTTGAAGTGACTGAAGAACTCTCTTCGGATCACCTGCCCGTTAATTTCGACTTTTATGGATTTTATCCTCCCCTCATAAAACCTAAATTTAATATGAATTGGAATATCTTTAAAAACAAACTCATGAATATCTCTAATAACAATAGCATGAATACCACTGAAGAAATTGATAACAGCATAAATTACTTAACTGACAATATTCAACATGCAATGAATTCTGCGGCTTATATCCAAAGAAATAATAGCTACTTCAATCTTCCACAAAATATCATAGAACCTAATCAAGCATAGGAATAGAAAAAGAAAATTCTGGCATCTCTCTAGAGACCCCCGTGATAAAAGAGAAGTTAATTATCTGACCCGTAGAATATCGCAAGAAATTAAAAACCATAGATCGGAAAAATGGGATGCTACTGTTAGAAAATATTGACATTCAACCAAATACTATTTGGAAAATAGCAAATTCTCTCCGAAATAAAAATCCAAACTATAAATATCCTATTAATTACCAAGGAAATATCGCATATTCTGAAGCTGAAATAGCCGAAGCTATGGCAGATAACCTTGGCAAAATATTCGACCATCATACAGAAGATACCCCCCAAGATTACACCATCAATAATGAAGCCGAAGAAATTAAACTTCAACGCACCAGATCTTATATTAATTTCACCTCAACAGATGAAATCATTGGAATTATCAAAAATCTTAAAAAGAAGAAAGCGCGGGGCTTTGACAACATTAATAACGAAGCAATTCAAGCTCTTCCTTCGAACTGCATCATCTTACTCTGCAACATTTTCAACGCCTGCATCAGACACTCTTATTTCCCAAAAATTTGGAAACACTCTCTTGTAATTATGATTCTAAAACCAGGAAAAAACCCAAAAGAAGTTACAAGCTATAGGCCTATCAGTCTGCTCCCTGCAATAAGTAAAATCTTTGAAAGAATACTTCTAAGAAGACTAATGAATACACAATAAATTTAAATCAAATCGATAATCAGCAATTTGGATTCAAAAAAGGACACTCAACTTCGCACCAAATTCTTAAACTTAATTGAATATGTTGCAGTTGAATTTCAAAAGAGGAATACTGTTGCAGCATGCTACCTCGATTTCGAAAAAGCTTCGATCGAGTGTGGCATGCTGGCCTTATTTACAAGCTCTCAAAACTTCAAGTACCTACTAACCTCATTAAAATCATCATCTCTTATTTAGAAGACAGAACGTTTCAGGTGAGATGTGGAGATACTCTCTCAAATATAAAAAAATCTACAGAGGACTCCCTCAAGGCTCTGTCCTCTCTCCTACAAATTTTAATATTTATGCTTATGACATGCCAAATCCAACCTCTGCTAAAATACTCAAATACGCCGATGACACAGTGATTCTTTCAAATTCCATAAACCCTCAATATGCCATTGATAAACTTGACTCTCATGTTCAAAGGATCTCAAACTGGTGCAAATTTTGGAAAATTAATCTAAATCCTTCAAAGTGCTGCATCGTCCTTTATCGCCGATATAAGAAAAACTACCCTATCAATATTAATATAAAAATTGACAATAACTTGATCCCACAAGCCAATAGCTACAAATATCTTGGAGTTTATATTGACAACAAGCTCACCTTCAAAGAACACATCAACTACATTTGCAATAAAGCCAATGCCGCCTTTATGGCTATCTATCCAATTATAGGAAGAAAATCAAAATTAAATCTCAATACGAAAAGG